TAAAATGTACAGATTTTTTATCCAAAACTAATTTAGCAAAAGAAATTTAAGTTGTCAGATTGATAATAAAGAATCTAATTTGTTTTCTCTGCTACATATAGTGCTATCTTTAAGATTATCTTTTGATCATGTTTTTATAATCTTTAACACAAATTTATTAAATGGCTACATAAAATTATAACCCAAAACTACTCATAGTCATTTTAATTTTAAGAGTAAATCAATAGCCATCATCATCTGATTTCCAAGGTATTAGCATATCTGTATCAAATTATGTTAATATATTAATAAGCATATAGAATATTTTAAAAACTTAACATTTAAATAGAATATATTATCATGAGTGCAGGAGTCATTCAAAATTATGAAAATAATTCTTGATTGAAATTATAAGGGAGAAAAAGATTTATCCTCATAAACAATTAGCATAATTTTTATTCAACATATTATTTACAGACAAACAGATAATAATATCACACAACTTTTTTTTTTTAAATATCCTTACACAAAAATTCTTCCTTTTTCAGATAGTAAAAAATTGGATCTTGTTTTCCTCCTTCATACATCAACCCATATCAGTGACAAGGCCTTCAAGCTAATAATTAACTTCTTGAAAAATGTTCTTCGAGATGTCGATGTGGATTCTGGTGATGTCCAGGTTGGAATTGCGATGTACCGTCGTGATTCGGATATTCTATTCAACCTTGACCAATATAATACAAAAAAGGAACTGATAGAAGCTATTGAAAGCATTCCAGATTATTATCGATCTGATGAAGCCAATCTAGCCCGTGGTCTGAGAGTAGTCAGGCAAATCATGCTGTCTGAAGCAAAGGACAAAAGGCCCAGTGTACCAAATGCTGTAGTGATCATTACAGATGGCTTATCAACAGCAGGCTCAAATGACCTGGAATCAGCTGCCCTGATGCTCAAGGATGTTGCCTATATTTTTGCAGTTGGAATAGGAGTACATACTTATGCTGAATTGAACTCGGTGGTGTCGGAACCAGCCAATATAAACCATTTCTTAGTTGTGAGCGTTGAACATATTGGTGACGTGGAGCCACAGCTTACTGAGCAGATGATGGCATGTGAGTACACAGCAAGCAAGAATGATGGCTCAATGCACGCACAAATGCATGCAGTTGCCACAAAAACAGCGGCAATTGCAGCAGCAGCGAAGGCAGCAGCGGCAGGGTTTGCAAGCGCTCCATTATGGTTCAGGCAAAAGCAAAGGCGCTTTGATAAAATTCTTTATTGTTTGGTCATTGGCAAGAAGGCGCTGTCACTTGATCATCATGAAATATCCAGGAATTATTTTAAGGAAGAGGATATATTTCTTATTTAACATTTTTTTATATGAAGTCTCTTTTTGTCATTGATATGAAATGTTTCTCTTATCTTCTTATCATTTTTACATATTTTATTTTCATTGTTGTTAATATTGTCAACTTTGAGTTCTCTTGGTTTGGTAAAAACATCCCCTTCATTCAAATATCACAAATACTCATAATCAGATATGCTTCAGTTTATATCTCAGTTGATTTATTTCTTTGATTGGATAGTAGAAGCATATATTTTTCCTAACTAGCTAATATGTATGATTATCAAGTGCATAAGTATATTTGTATAAGCTAAACAAATAATATTTTCTAATAAATGATTCATATCTATATAAACTACAGGTATGAAAAATAACTTATTTATAAAATATCTTATTTTATAGTAAAAATAAAACATATAAAAGTAAATACGAGTGAAAATGTGAAATTTGCATTTATAAATTTATCCACATTTATTAGAGAAGTGTGAAAAATATTTTAAATAGCTATGAAGAATTTTCTTCATTCATAGATGTATGATGTAGGCAAAATTGAAATGTTTAATGATAATAGATTAGCTGAGAATGAAAAAACAATTGAAATAGCTATGAACAAGATTATATTAATCTAAAATAGAAAATATAATGCTTATGTGAATTGAGCTGGAATTAAAGCTCTGTTAAAAATATAATTATTGTTTATTTAGATTAGTGAACAAATGCAAATCATAAAAACACAATAAAAATCTAATATTTGCAGCAAAGATAAGTGGACACTCCTGATTTCTGAATGAAATTGTTTCTACAATGTATACTAGAATATTTTTATTATGCTATATGATTGATAACTGTATGATTTAATATTTAAAAGTTCTCAGTCATACTAAGAATTGCCTTTGATTCCTAATAATCAAGAATACATACAATGATAAATAGAAATTACAAGGATACAGAAAACAAAATTCCATTTGTAAAATTCATTTTAATTTCATAATAGTGCATAAAAACTAGGAACCAAACTGTTAGCACTCAACAAAAGTGGGTACAACTAATCTGGTATCACCATAGACACAGAAAACTCATTTAATTAAAAGTATAAATCAGTTATTACAATTGACTGTCTCTATGCTTTAATTTCTGCCATTGTCTAATCCAAGCTCCATTCAGATCTTTTCTAGATGCAACAGTTCTCTTTCTTTCTGGCTCTACTGTTCGCTGCGCAGCTATTGCTCACTTTTGCGCTTGCTATCTATTTTTGCTATTTTCAACAAATTGCTTGCATGCTGTGCATAAGGGAACTTTTTTCTAACTGAATGTTATCAAAATATTACCTTTATTAGTATTATTTATCACATTCAGACATGTTTATATTTTAATGCAGTATTTAATTAAGTATAAATACACTTTCGGAAATAATAAAATACATTTTTCCACTCAATAATATTGAATGAGGGATCAATACAAAATCTATGTTACCATGATTCTTTACTTCTATATAAAAAACATACATCAAATATGTAAAAGAAAAATATTGTAAAATTCTATACCTGATGTTTGCCCACGCATTAAAAGTAAGATTTCTATGAAATTTGCATTCTTCAGTAAAATGGAAAAATAATGAAGTATAAAATTACTAAATAACCAATTTTCAGATAAATTCTTAAACTTACAACCTGATTCAGAATTTAATATTTGATCCCAAAACTATAACTCAGTTAAGTATTTTTTGTTTATTTCCAAACAACAACTGACATTTTCAAAATGTAATAAATATATATTAATACCTTTAAATAAAACATTACATTTTATTACATTTTATGTAAATTTAATTTTCAGGTAGAAATGATTATGTATTAGTATTTCACTTTAGTATAATTTTGCTCTTGAAATTATTTTCTTTTATTAATATAAAAGCAGCAGTTAATTCTGAAGATAAGTTTTGTCTAAAAAAATGATGAAAATCTGAGAATAGCTTTGGTTATAATACTTATTAAATTTAAAATATTTTGTTAAAAGTGTATTTATCCTTATGCCTATGTGCATGTATGTGTACATTTGTGAGTGTTGTGGGAGGGCTGTCTACTGAGTTTTGTCTAGCACAAAGCTACAATAAACTGTAGGTCATTCAATGGGGACTGAACTCACTATACTAGCAAATTGGTATGCAAGACGACCTTGCTAAACCTTTTTGCTATGGAGATGCCTTGTGTGTGTGTGTGTGTGTGTGTGTGTGTGTGTGTGTGTGTGTGTGTGTGTGTGTGTGTGTGTGTGTGTGTGTGTGTGTGTACAGCTGTTGAATATCACAGTGTTATCAAAATTTGTTTAATATATGTTTATTCATCTCCAAATTATTTTCAGCTAAATAACAAAGCATGCAAACAAATATTTGCTTATATTATTGAAGATATTTTCTTAAAAAAAAGATAATATTTTCCATTAATTTAATTGCAAGCTACTTCATTTGCTGACAGAAATTGCATTAGATGCTTAAAATATTTTAAAATAATCTTCATATTAGTAAATATCAGCTATATATAAATTAATCTTTAATGCCTGGATTCAAAATTATTTTTATTATTTTATTAAATATAATATATTTAATAATTATATTTAATTTTAACTATTAATCAAAACTGATATGTAACAGCCAATATTCTAATTAAAAATAATAAAATATATATCATTAGTTTAATAAGAAATAAAATAAAAAATAACATTTTTAAAATAATATTTTTCATGTTTGCTAATAATCCTAATAATTTTGTAATTCAGCATTTATTAAGTCCTTTCATTAAGTGAATGAAAAAAGTTTTTTTCAAATTTTAATATAGTAAAACCTTTTTTTAATTATAAATAATTTATTAGTTAATTTATCTATCTGTTGCAATAAATTTTACTCAGCTTAATCATATTCAAATATATTTTCTTGATGCTTGTAAAAAGTCTGGCCTGCATTCATAAATTAATGTGAATACAACTTTATATATGCTAAAAGAAATTATCAGATAATCACGGAAATTTAATCCCAGGAAATTCAAATGTTGATGTTTATTTTTAATAATTAAAATGAAAATGTATCAAAACATCCAATATAAAAAATCAACCAAGCATTAATATCAGAAATTTCTTTCTTTTGATTTTAGGCTATAACCAAAATTTTATATTTTCTTATTATACAAAAAATGAATTAATATAATTAAAGTTCTTCATGTAGTAAATGTTTCAAATGATTTTAAAGATATTATTTTGTATTAAATTCCTCAAGTAGTGTTACAGATTATATTAGCCTACAATATTATGCTTATCAAAAGTAAATTTAAAAGCAAAGATTTCTATTTTTTGCATCTTAATATTTCTGTCATATATGTGCTAATGTATGTGTAGATGTATTTGCATTTAATGGCATTTTTTTAAACATTAAAATATTTGCTAAATGTTCTTAACCAAGAATATTTAATTCATCATTGACAAATTGTTAATAAAAATGAAAAATTATTAATTTTTCAACAAGTATTTTCCTAATGTATTATTTATTTTTCTTCGAAGATGATATTCAAGTTTATTTTGCATATTCTTCTTTTACAGGTACAAATAGCATTTAAAATATCTCTTGATAATAAAACAACTTTTACTCTTATTTATTATGAAAATATCAAACATTCATTATTTATGTTTTCAGTACAAGGTGATGCTGCATTTCCGGCTATTGGAGACCCAGGTAAACTTATTAATTATAAGCAGCAAAATAATTCTTATAATATTAATAATTTGAATAAAATGCACTCTTTATCTATTTTTTTTCATCAGTTAAAAAAATTTATAAAAGATTTTAAAATCTATGATATATGAATAATTTTTTAGTATTAAGTCTATAATAAAATTGTAAATTTAAAATGTTCATCAAAGAAAAAAATCATGCTAAATTCATGATGCAAAGATTCTTTTAAATAATTCATTATTTTATTAATAGATCATAAAAACCTTCTAGAAATCAAGTAAATTCGCATATGTTTGGTTAGGTCAGCTATATTTTAATATCATATAAGTGATATATTTTAATATGTATCATGTTACATTTACAGAAGACATTAAAATAATATATTTTTCGTTTAATATGTGGCATGATCAATAGCTGATTAATTTCTCTAAAATCCTATATGTTGTCTTTGATAATATAACCAAATGGATTTGGTTACGTTATGGCTGATAATGGGACGTAACTCTTAAAAATTAATATTCTTTAAGGGAAATAATGCAGTTCTGTTTTCAGAAACTTATTAGTTTCTACTTATAAATTTTGAATAAAAACCAAAATAATTTTCCTAACCTATATTTTATTTCTAATATTTACAGCAAATATCAAAGCAGACATCACTTATCTGGTACATGTTACCAAGGGTGTAAAGAAAAGCGAAATGGAAGATCTAGTAAATTTTTTAAAGTCTTTGCTTTCAAATGCAAATATAGCTTCTGGGGATATCCGTGTTGCTTTGGCTTTTTACAAACAAAATATCAGGGTGAGTTTTGACTTTAATACTTACAGGACTAAACCTGAAGTACTTGATGCTTTAGATCTGTTTAAAGAATCTAGAGCCCGAAGTCCCAAAGCTAATGTTGCAGCAGCTTTGAAATCTTTACCAAAACTGTTACTTAATGAGGATAAAGGAAATCGAGCAGATGCTACGAATTATATTATTCTTGTCACTGATTTAGAGGCAACTATTAAGAAAAATATTGAAAGTAATGCAGAGATTCTTAAAAATGGTGGTGCTAAGATACTTACTGTTGGTGTTGGACTTCCCGATTCAGCTGAATTAAGAACTATTGCAAGTGAGCCATCAGGTCTCCATTCCTTTTTTGTTGATGACTATGCCTCACTCAGCAGTGTCACCCCAAACATACTCAGTATGATCCCTCCTAGTAAGTTTCACTTAAAATTTCTGGCATGCTATTTTTCAATTAGTAAATTTCTGCATGTGAGAATATATTTACTCTTTATTACCTGACTGAGAGGAAATGGTTAAAACTTTTTGAGTCTTAAATATTTTCTGTTTTGATTACTTTTATTTTGCTAATAATTTAATAAGAGTAACTTACAAATATGTATATTTATTAGTGCTTCAATTTATTGAAAACTTTGTTAAGAAGTTTAAAGAAAATGCTATTAACACATGTACAAGCATAAATAAAGATTTATTTCATAAAATCATCTATGAATATGTACCAGTTTTTATTAGTTGCATGTATTTACAGGGATTTTAATATGCTGAATTAACCAAATAAAATGTATTAGCCAAAGGTGAAATATAATATTAGTAAGCAGTAATAATAAAGCTGCTAAATTTTTTAAAATAATATTATACATTTTATGATTCAGTAATAAAATAATCGTAAGTTTTTATAAAAACTCTAATAATTATTTTAATTTATAAGACAACAAAAATTTTGAATATTTAATATTTATCATGGCATATATTTAAAGAAATCCAGAAGGAACTATAAAATTCCTGAGTAGTATTAAACCCATTATAAATAACATCCTTTAATAGTAATTATGAAGAAATACTGGATAAAGACAGGATTAATCCATAAATAAATTAAACAAAAGCAAACAGATAGTAATTACAATTAACTATTTAAATGAAATATAATTTTATATTGTATATATATCAAAGTTCTATACTTTAAAATACTGTACAATTTAAAAGGTCATATATGAAATATACACCTGTTAAACTTGTTTAATCAAATAATTTTGGCCAAAATTATTAATTAAACAACAAAATATCAAATTCTGGTCTCTTTTATATTGCATCTTTTCAACTTTCACTTAATAAAGTAGGTTTTAATATTCATTTTATGTCTCTGTAAAATATGATGTAATGAAACAAAAAGTTATCAATTTTGCATAATCAACAATTGTAATACAATCTATCTCTAAAAAAATAAATTTTATAAAATCTTTTCTTACAAAAAGTAACTTATCCACACTGAACAATTAACATCAAGAATAAATAGGGATATCTAACAGCATGCTAAAAATGAAACAAATTTTCAAGTAACTTTTACAAGTATTATTTCTTTTTGTTACTCTATTAGTTGATGTCAGTGCTTCCATCCCAACAGTTCCTGTTCCATGTAAGTAAAATGTTCATTACTATTTCTATTTAAAATATATTTTCTTATAAGAAAAAAGAAAACATTATTACTTCTATCTCTACAAAATAAAGAGAAGAATTCAATTCAGAGTTAAATTAGTTATTAGTAGATAACTATGAACTAAGCTTCTTAGTTGATATGTCCCGGAAAGGGATATATTTGTTCAAAGTAGCAAAGTGGTTTTGGACTACTGTAACTGAGTAGAACAATCTAGCAGGTAACCGTAATGGACTGGTCCTCGTCATAGTGGTAAGCAACCGGTGTAGACAATAGGCCAAGACAACAGCGAAGACAATAGGCATCCCCCTGTCCCTCCATATTAGTCTGTATTTATGGCTGACACCAGCCAATCATATTACTGTGAGGGGGAACCAGGTGTATGCATATTCATTACATCATTAGTACACTAATATAGTGATGAATCAAGATTTCATTTATAATAAACAAAACTCTATGACAAAAGTGATCCCTACCTATGTTAATATTTCTATATAATTTCCTTTTAGGCTGAATGTCAAGTTATTCCAGTTTTAGAATTAAGAATTAGTTAATTTATCATTCATAAGCAGCTAAGATTTGGTAAAATTAACTCATAAATATAGAATCTAACAGATATGTTAAGAATAAACAGAATATATAAAAATACTGTATTAATGCATAAAACAAATTTGAAGTTATTTCACATAAAATAAACTTAAATGTATAACAGTAGTGTAAGAGGGATACTAAAATCCAAGATATCATGAAAGCCATAGTACCTTTGAAGAAATTTCATGACAGCATCACCTCGTCTGGAAATTTGGTATTTTCATACAACTGTACTACAATATTTTAGGACTATTTTAGTGAAACACTTCCTTTATTTTTAATTGGTTGTATTCTCATGTCCAATATGACTGTGTTATGTGGATGAATCATATAACTGGTGTATATGGGACAACTCTTTAGGCAAATAAGCACTTACTCAGGGTGTTACCAAGTAAGGTATCAGACCCAGGGCTTGTGGGTGGTGTCGATTTTGTTTTGAAATGTTAGTAAATTTCCAAGTATGAAGATGATAGTACCAAATGGTGTTTCCCCTATTTTAAGTAATTTTGTATAATTTGCTGCTACCCATTTGAATTCTATTATTTTCATCACATTCTTGAATCATTTTTTTAAACTGCTTAAAATATCGAATTATACTTCTCACAGTATGGTGCTTGTTATAGTGTCACCTTTCCTTTCACTCTGTTTCATCTACACCTTCTCACAAGGAAAGATTTGCCTTTTTTGTTTGATTGTTTACACTGAATTTGTTTCCTTTATTTTGATTGACAAAGAACAAAAATAAAAATATGGAAAATCTTTGTATTTTAGTATACACGTACCAAAATTTTCATGGACATGATCACAATACTATACCTCAAGTTTTCATAGACACAACTGCAATACTAAACCTCATAACATCTTGGATTTGGATACTGACCCCTCCCCCCACCACCACTGTCAGCATAACAAATATAATAATATAATCACTAGATATAAGCCACATATTAAAATTAATTCTACAAGTATAACTCTTTATAGAGAGAATCAAAACAAAGTAATTCATGTATTATAGTTAATTATGTAATTCATATCATATAATTAATTTTGTATTATCTTTAAAATATTTTTCTCAGAATTTCTAGTAAAATAGATTAATTTCCTTTATTAATACTTTATTAAATATTTTGTTATTTTATGTATTGTAACTAATCAATGCTAATGGTACCCACCCATTTTAAATGGTAAGTACAATGTTCTTTTTAAATAAGCTGTTTTGTATGGACATTAAAACTAGTGATGCAGATTTTCTTATATGATAATTTCTGATTTGAAAAACCTCTCACTTTTTAGAAGGATTAAATTCTTTTATTGCTTTAAATAAAGAAATATTGATAATTTTTATGATAATTATAAGAAATATTGAAAAATACAGCTTTTATATTCTTTCTTAGAAATGACAACAAACAAAACTGCAATAACAAAGAAAATATTTGGAGTTATTATGTTTTTATTACAAATAGCTCAACAGTTACTGAAAAAATGTTCCTCAACTATTTTGAAATTTATATTACAATTTAATAAAATTATTTAAATTAGTGAATATTTCATCCTAATTTATCTGCAGACATTTTGGTTTTCTCTGTATTTCTCTTGGTAAAATTTATCAAATAAATACACAATAAATCAGTAGTTGATGATAAGATTCAAATCTAAGATCATAATGTAATCTTAATAAAAATCATGTGACAGTTCATTCTAACACTTTGAACTGACACGGGGGTTACATTTTTCCAAATTTAGTCAATAAAAATCAATGAGTCTCTCATAAACCTGAAAATCAGACAACATTCAACACCAATTTATTATATTAAGCAAATTATTATCTGCTTGCAGCTATAAAAAAGATATAATTAATGCAATTAATTAATGCAATTCTCTTTCATTACATAATTCCAATGAAAATTATGAAGAAAATGCACATAGTAAAGTAATTGTTCCTGACACATTATCACTGTTAGCTTATCAAATTTATATTCCTTTGGTGTGGGATCTATTAGCATAATTTCTCTTTTGCCCTTTTCTATAATTATGAATTTACACAAATCTTCCACTAAATATTTTCCATACTTTTATTAACAAACATATCAATTTACACTATTTATTCTTATCTTTCAGCAAAACCAGCAAATCCTAGGGTTTACACAAGTGAGTATATATGTGTTTGAGTATGACATGTATATGAATGTGTGCATACTCAGTGGACATTAAGACACATGAATGTGTGTATACATGTATTTTTGATAGTATTATTTCAACTGTGCATATAGATGTACATGAAAATGTGTGAGCAATACATCATTTTACACAATTTCATTAATGACCACATAACAAATACAATGAAAATGTCATGTTTCAGTTCATCATAATATTAGAAGCAGTCCTTTTATTTCTACCAATATATTTCTTTAATGTCATTGTTTCCATTATTAAACATAAGTTGTACTTATGACTTATGTTTATTAGATTGTGTTCTTTTAAATATTGTTGAAGATAAAAAAAAATTATGATTGGGAAAATAAGCAATAAAAGTATATTCCAAAAGGTGTATAGCTACTATTTGAATTTGAATCATGATAAATTAGCTTGTAAAGAAAGTAATATTCTTTAATGGATAGTTTGGTTTTAATAAAATAACCTAATAAATGTTCTGAAATCACTTCTCTAAATTTACAGCTTTATTAGGCAATAGAAAAATTAAAATGATGTTGTTTTCCAATTTCTAACCTTAGTTTAATTTATTAATATCTTAACAATCTCCTTTCATTTATTCAGTAAAATTGTGATAAAATTATGAAACAATTTTTTCTCTGAAAAAAAATCTATTTTACTTTTATGGTTCAATGTTTCCCAATACTGTAAAAAGTTGAATTTAATTTTTAAGGTTATTTTTTATATTGTAACATAATTTTGAGTGTTTCTAGAAATTTTTATTGCCTTTCAATTTATTCTAAGATATTTCAAGTAACATAGTTTAAGAAATGCTATTAAAATTCTTTTACTGCCATTGTTATTAAATCCTGGCTTCCTCTTTGTTGAGCAGAGAGAACCAAATTTTATATTTTATATGCTTTACAGATTTAGTTGTGGTTTTTGTTTAGGAGATTGAATATTTATAGAGGCAGTTCAATGCATACTTATAAGTATTTATTTTTAACATCAATCAATAAATTGCATAAAATTGATCTGCATCACATTAAAAATGATAAACTATATTTTAATAGAAGCTGATCTTATGTTTAGACTTGTTAAAATGAGTTTTGAAGTAGAAGACCCAGTTTATTTTTTAATTGTTAATTGTTCTCTATCAATTTTATTCACATCAAGTATACTCCAAGTAACTAATTATTTATCTGCTGAATTTTCACATTAGAAGGACCTAGTTTTTTTCATTGGAGAACAAGTCATAGTATATTTCTTTAATATTCCAATACTCTTCTCAGTACCCTCATTGATTTTTGGTAAAGTTATCATTCTGATGTTTTCAATACTTTTTGGATATTCAATTTTCCTATGCTCATTACAAGACTCATTTATACTTTTTCAAATGCACCAATGATGAGTAAAATAAGCACTTTTATATACTTAATTTATTTTTCAATTCTTTAGCAAGGTTTCCATATTTTTAAAACATTTTACTTTCTTTTGATCTCATTCTGTGGTCGGCAGGAATATGTGAGATGTTTTTGTCATTATTTACAATGATTAAATCCAATCTGCAAACTTAATTAGGTGATCCATTTGGAATTCAAACTTTCATAGAATTTTATTTTGTCAATGCTTTAATACAGATTACTAGATCAGCAACTAGGCCTCATCATGTTACAGCTGAAATAGCTAGATGTAATCATACATTCTATTCTAATAGTTTCTTTTCTCATACTTTTCACCCGTTGAACTCTTTTTCAATTTCTTGCTTCCATGCCACCTACAATCTCCAAAAATTTAAATGCAACATCAGTTGTAATATTCTGTATCCCTGAATCCTGTTCCTGTTCTCCTCACTCAAATATTCTCATTCTCTACCACTTCCAGTAACCATTGTAGTGGCACAATTGATTTGCTTGGGGTGAAATGATTAAAAACATGCTACTGTTTCTGAATATATCATTTGTTTGCATGATCATATTCCAATTATTTAGACAATTCCCAGTGGATCACCATTCCTACCCAGTCATGTCTATTTTTGTACTTCTTGTGAACTACTTTACTGCATTCACTTATTATTTGATATACAATATTTTATGTATATTTGTATTATCAATATTTACTATTCTAATTTTCCATGTCTATCTTTGCCTTAGTATTGTTAGCTCTCCTACACTTTCTCTTGGCTGCAATTAGTATAGATTCTGTTTCTCTTTTCAAGTGTCCTCTGTGCAACCATACATTTTTAATTTCTTCTACACTTTTACTTGTTACTCATAGCTGTTTTTCTTTCCATTTTGGGCTTCTTGTTTTCAAGTTTTCTATTCAACATTTGTTCTTTTTCAGTACTGTTACAACTTCTGACTTTCTTAATTAATTTCTCATTAATCTGCTTTATATTGCCCCCAACTCAAGTTGACACAATCTTTAATCCTGAACAGTCCTCTTCTTCATTTCTTTCTTCTCATATCCATTACTTTGGCAAGGCTTTATGCATGGTCATCAGTTTCTCTTACTATAACTATTTTTATTATAATTTCATGCTTTTGTATATTCACACCTAATGTCTTGTGGTTATTACTTAATATTGATTAACAGCAAGTCTCCTTGACTCTCCAACACCTTCCTCAGCATTTTGCTTACCTTAGCACTGATTGCTCTGGTCTACAGTCAAAGTTTTTTCTCAAAGCTTCAATTCATCCAGTCTCATTCTTAGGGTGGTTTCAGGAGAACCACTTACTATAGGCATGACTCTGACCCTCATTTTCAGCTGCTTTTTTTCTTCCCAGGCTAGATTCTGGTACTTTTAGATTTTTTTCAGTTTCTTTTATTTTCACAATATGACATTCACCAGTTTGATATCATACAATGTTTCTGTGTTCAGAATAAAGCTATTACTACAATTATTATTAGTAGTATGATTACTCACACTGAGTACTCACAACAATACGAAATGATAGTTTACATTGAAGATTAAGTGACAAGAAATTTCATCAATATTCCAGCAATGTTCTTAATAATGTAGCTGTTTTCATTGACACTGTTGTCTAGATTTAGTTCCAGTTCTTCTCCTTAATTTTAAGATCTTCCAGTATTTTTTCCTAGGCTTCAATAACTGAAAGTTCTCTAATTGTCAAGTTCATATTTCACAACTTCCTCAGATCAAGATTCTCATCTATCTTTTCACTTTCATATATCTGCATGTTTACACTAGATGGTTATTATTGGAGATTAAGTGACAGAAAGTCTCCTTAAATATTCAAAATTTTTCTCAGTATATTATCATTACTATTATTCTGTTTTTTTTTTGTATGTATAACCATTACACATTTCTAATTAGGATCAGAGTGTAGTATATTTGCCTAATCCCTGGACCTTCTCAGCTGGAATCAGTTAGACTTTCTGACTAAGAAACTTACATAATAATAATAATATTAAATGAGAAGGAATTGGGCAAGGAGAGGAGATGATGAAAAGAGGGTGTGAAAGAAGGTAAAAAAAAACAAGATTAAAATGAAAAAAAAAAAAAACACATGGGGCAGGGAGAATAAATCTATGTACATAGAGAGAGAAAGGTAAGGGATGGAGACAAAAGAAATGTATAGTGATACAGGTTTGCTAGCTAGATATCAAGAAGAGACAATAAGTGGAAAATTGAAAGGTGGATAAGAATAGGAAAGTAAAAAATACAAAATATTAAAATTCCTTCAGGAGAGAGATAGATCAAAAGAAAGATAATAAAGAATGCAGTAGAAAATATTTTCACATTCCTTATTCCGTTTTCTTATATGTATGAGACTAATTTGTGTTTGTATAACATTTAGATAAAAACATCGACAGGCAATAAAGAGTGGAAGGAATAAGGGAGAAAATGAGAAGATACAGGCAAAGGGTGAAAAAAAGAGCACAGGCATGAGATAATGGATGATCTTAGTTGTCAACACCTGTGGAATTTTCATGGGTTCATTTAGTTATTATTATTATTTTCATTTTGTATTTATATTCTCTTATGGGTAAAAAGAAATATATTTAGATATAATGAGTCTTTTGTGAACATCATAAATATTAATATTTGTTTTATTTCTAATAATCCCAAATTTAATTTTTTGTGACTTTCTTTCATTAATATTCTTATTAATGAATAATCTCAAATTTTCCTATTTTATTTTTTAATTAATGCAAATTTTCATTGTGTGAAATATTTTGCAATTTTTTATTCTCTTATAAAGTAATAATTTCAACAATGCAAGTCATAAATTTTTTACTACTTTTTTTTTGTTTTTCTCTTTATCATTTATAGTATCTACTTTTATTCCAAAAACAGGTCTATAAACATTTTTTAATTAATTCATTTTAAAAATATATTCAATCTACTTTTATTGCTTCAGTTTACCCAACTATACATTCTCTTCATTAATAAATCCACATTACAAAATAACCTTCTAAGTTCATACACTTCAGTTTGAACAATTTTGCAAATGTGATAAATGTAAAACATTGTAAACAATATAATTAACTTATTTTTATTTTTGATATCTGTAAATAGCTACAGACATCTTCACAAGCACTTCTTTCTTTTATGTTAGTCTGAAACAACATAACAGTCAAAACCATGCTTTATATATCATCTAAAGTTATTGCTTATTCTTATTGTTAATTTCCATAACACATTCTTATATTTTTGTCAATAATCTAGCATATGTTCCTATATGCTTACAACAAATCAAAATAGCATCAGCTTATTCATAATGACTAAATGCATTTTTTGTAATGATCTTACAGCATATTGATTATCAAAGAAACACAAGAAACATTTATTTTTGCCTACATTTACATCTATATTGCTGTACATCTTATTTCAATATAGCAGATTCAACAGCAAATCATCAACAAGCGAGATATCTACAGAGACAATGCAGCACAGAAAGTATTCTACACTCTCAACAGCAACAACTTGATTTACAGACAACAAAATGATTCCTTCACAAACCAGTGATACCTTCCACCTCATGGCTGGTCATCAATAACATGAGCATTACTTAAATGACTGCACTCACCTTTCTTTGCTAGGAGCGTATAACACATACCAGTAAAGTAGAATGCAGCCTGATTTCATCATACCACTCTCCTTCAAAACTCTTCACTTCTGTTTTCATTAAGTAACAATGCACCAGTAACTTACTTTTTATTGCAATCAAATCACACATTATTTCCACACTTCTCATATAGAATGCAGCCTTTACATTAACACTACTTTCATCTCAACCTTCACTCATATCTTTATTTTCTATGAGCACACTGAAAATGCACCTTGCATCACAAAACGAATGCTATGCACAATATAATAACAATGACAATAATAATCATAATATTAATGGTAATAATAATAAGCTAATATGCATGCTAATTAGTATAAAGTATAAAGTCCCATTTCTTCCACTTTTTCAGCTTCTGATGAACTGGATCTTGTGTTTGCCATTCACCTATCAGAGAAAGTTAATGATGTAGAAATACGAGAACTTACGGTCTACATCAAAGACCTCCTTGAGAGGGCAAATATTGCCTCTGGTAAGGTCAGGGTTGGGACAGTTGCCTACACTGACGTAGGAACTATTTTGTTTAATCTGAGGGAATTTAGAAATGTGTCACTTATAACTGAAATATTAGCCAGTCAACTTAGCAAGCACAAGTCTGATTCAGCTAATGTAGCCAGCCTGTTGGAAACAGTTCGCACCAAAGTTTTTGGGGACCCATCATCTGACCGAGCAAATGTACCAAATGCTTTACTAATCATAACAGACAAGAATTCTAACATGCAGCTTGAACAAATATCATCTCAGGCAGAACTGACCCGCAATGCAGGAAACCGAATCTTCACAGTTGGAATCCAGCTTGATGACAAGGCAGAATTGGAAACAATTTCAAGCAAACCAACGGACCAAAATGTATTTGCAGTGATCTCCTTTAATGAGCTCCCATTGACTAAAAGAGAAATAATCAGCCAGCTATATGCTCGTGAGTACAATCTACCCAAGAAAAGAAGACATATAATAATAACCATATGAATTATTTCTTAATCATAGCCTTATTTTAAAATATTAGATGTATTAATAAAAACAGATGATTTGTAATTTTCCCAAAATTTAATAAGTACTTATAAATTCTTAAATTTTTAATTGTTTGATAGAGAGATAGATTGGTAAATTGTATTTACTTTATGATTATTATTTTAAATCTGAGTTGAGTAATTTTATATTTAAATATCAATGATATCAGCATTTACGATTATTAATACCATATTAAAGAACAGATATTTTTACTCTGAACAGTAAATTTGCACATTAGTAAACAGTAGTTCTTTTAAAAAAGGTCCTATTTTATGAGAAAATTAAATTTCAAATTAGCTTCCAAAACAGGAACACTTCTTACCACTTAATTATATAAAAATAAGATCTGAAACTACTAATTTATACCTAAATATGCAGTAGAAAAGTGTGTTTTGTTACTCATTGCCAAATGTTTACATTTTTGTTATTTTCTAGTATGAATATAAATATATGCACCAGGCACATATTCATTCAAAACAAAATTTCATTTACATGAATTTTCTTAAAAATATAATCTAAATGTACTAACGCAGTAAAGATTACATTCACCCTTTGTTACATTAATCCAATATTTATTGTACAAAGAATTATTTCAGAGTAACCACATTCTCAAAGCATGCTTCTGTTTATTCAACAATATTTTCAATATCCACCAAAAAAACACTACAATGTTAAAAGAGGCAGTTACAGATATAGTAAATCACTATTTGTATCAGGTCATCCCATAAGTTCTGTCCGAATTTTGAATAAAGAAAACAAGTTACCATATGTTAATTTAATTACAGATTCAATCAACAATGTATTTTCCCTGATTATCTATGACTTACTTCCATCTATTAACAAGCTTACTAATTCCATTACTGTAAAATTCTTTTGACTTTGATTCGAAGAACTCACAAATGTCAGTTTTAACCTCTTCCTGTGTTACAAAAGCTGTTTCTTCCAAATGATTCTGTAAGCTATAAAACAAATGGTAGTCTGAAGGAGCAAGATCAGGAGAATAAGGTGGATGAGGAATTTTTTTCCAACCAAGTTCTTCGATCTTTTGTGACGTGATTCTTGCTGTGTGGGGTCGCGCATTGTCCTGATGAAACATCACCTCTTTTTGATTCACTAGAGCAGGTCTTTTTTTCCTCAAAGCTTGGTTCAAACGCTCTAATTGCTGACAGTATATTTGAGCATTAATTGTTGCATTATTCCTTGGCAATCCCACCAGATTGAAAGAAGAACCTTTTGCCCTTCTCGGCTGTGGCTGGGTCCTTCCCCTTTACCAAGCCACTGTCTACGATGCTTAACATTTCGATAAAAGATCCACTTTTCGTCACCAGTCACAAGTCTATCCAAAAAAGGTGAAGCAAGTTGGCGAGAATGGAGAGAAGAGCAGATGTCAACTCGGGATTTGAGGTTGTTTTCAGACAATTCATGAGGCACCCATTTTCCAAGTTTAGGAAATTTTCCAAGTTGTTGAAAATGACGATGAACAGTTGTATGGTTTGAACTGAGAACCACTGCCAATTTCTGAACTGATAAAGCAGGATTTTCTTCAAGGGCTGCTTCAAGAAGCTTTTCATCAAACTCAACTGGACATCCTGTTCGATCTTCATCTTCAAGGGTGAAATCTTTACCTCTGAATTTTGCAAACCATCTTCTGCAAGTTCTTTCATTCACACATTCCTCTCCATAAACTGAGTGAATATTTCTAGCCACTTCGGCTGCTGAGTTTCCTTTCTTGAACTCATAAAGCATTATGTGCCTCTTCTTGGGTACTTCCATGTTAGCAGGGTTTTAATCAAACAAAATTTAATTTTATTGTTCTCTGAAATAGAATTTGATCAGTCTAAATGCAACTAAATATAAAAATAATGTTCAGCTCCATTAGACATTATAAAATACTCTTTAAATTTCGTTCATTTTAAAAAAGGTAAAATTCGAACAGAACTTATGGGATGACCTGATAGTTAAGTTTTATATATCATTTCCATAAAAATTAATTTATCTGAAACAGTGTTAACACTACATTTGTATCATTGTTTCTTTTATTTTTATATTACGTTTTAAAATCAGTTACAGTAATATTCACAACTTGATATTCATTCTTGTTTGTCCTTGTCTTGAGATTCAGAAAAGTTATATAAATTGTTTTAATATTTTATTATCAACAAAATATTTAAATTTTTTTTTAATAAATGTTCACTCCAAAACAGTTTTCGAAATTTTAGCAAGGTTTTTTTTAAAACTTTATTAGAAAGTAAATTTATAAAAATCAGTTCATAAATAAACCCATAGTAACTAATAAAGGAAAACATATAATAAATAATTGTTATGCTAGAACAAAGAGAAAATGAGCATGCTGAATAAATACAGAAGTTAAAATCTTAGGGTCCATCTTACACTTGTAAACTTTAATAAAGATTATTTTAAAAGACTTTAGAAGATTAAATATAGAAGAGAATAATAACATTCAGTTTAATTTGAGAAGTTTATTGTAATCCAATCTATACACATTTTTATAATCACATATGTTTGTTTAAAAAATTACATTAGCAAATTGTTTTTATTTAGAAAATAAAAAAATATCAATATTTTAAAAATTTATTGTATCAAAATAAGTAAAATACAATCAATTATCCTCAAATGACTGGCACTAACTTCCCTTGGTGTCTTACTCACAGTTCGTGCTGATGCACCTGTCACAACTACAGTTGCACCAAAAGGTAAGTAATTACTAATATATATATATATATATATATATATATATATATATATATGTACATATATATATATATAAATACATATATAACATTAGCCTTTTTATTTTCTGCTTCTAGTTCTAAATTATAAAAATATTATTAGCTAATAAAAAAATCCTTTTATACTTACATGGCAAAGTTAGAAACCCAGTGATTTTGTATAAATTATCATCTGGAATTATACCATTTAGAATCTACTGAAACTAATATTTTCAGAACTTATTCATCCCTTAAACATTTATCTCAGAAATAGTCTGAAACTGATATTTTGTAAATACAGTGTTTAAAAATAAGGAAATTGAGTATTTTGCATAAAACTGAAAAATGAAATAAACAGAGAAAAAATTAATTTCTAATTGATTTTACCTCCAACAATTCTTCCTTAGATCATGAATTATTTGCATTAAGCTGTCATCTGGTAAAAATGTTTGAGTCCTTAATGATAATATATATTTTATTTCATCTGGGCTTTTACAAATTATTTTCCTGTACATTTCCTTTGAAATAAATATATTTTGAGGGAATCATGCAATTAATACCAACAAGGACTGCTTAAATTTTGTTTCAGTTTAGGCAGTAATGAAAAGTGTTATATGAATAATAATGAATATATATTCCAACATTATTTTCCTAAATACAACAACAACAACAACAACAATAATAAAAATAATAATAATAATAATAATAATAATAGCAGTAGTAGTACTAGTATAAAAATATTTATAAGGAAGAACTCACATTTTCAAAAAATTATTTTCCAAAAATGTGAGAAAAAATAATTTTAAGAAGAGTGATAATGAAAACTATTTTTGGTTGACAAAATGAAATATTCTCAAAAAGCTGCAAAAAGAAAGAGAAAGAAGAAAGAAGACAAAGAAAATAAAAGAAGATGATGCAAAGAAAATGAAAAAGGAAAGGGACAAGGAGGCTTTCAGCAACATTTCATATTAAATTATATTTAAACTTGCAATGATTGCCAAAATTTTGCTCTGGTATCTATTTTGTTTTGATTTTCCAATAGGGTGCTAAAGAAAACTATGCAGAAAGTTTTATAGTGCTTTAAATCTTAATTCTAGCTACTAATTTTACTGATATTCTATAACTTTGCTTCTACCAGATACTAATTAAAAATTGTGGCAAAACAATTTTTGTATTTATTTGTGCACACTTGCAATAAAACTTTGTTTTATTAACCTCATAAGATATGTTGGCTTTAAAAATTTATCTTTTAGTTTGTCCATATGCTCTGACAGTATTTCTAGTGGTATGACAATTTTCTTTCTCTGGTATTTGCCTTTTATTTAGTCATGAGTTTTTGACATGGAGTTATTTTTCCATTTCACTATTTTTATTTTATATTTGGTACAGCTTTGCGCTATGCTAAAATTTAGATATGTGGTTTATATCATTTTGATTTAAATATAGATTAACGCCTTGTTATGATTCACTCCCTTTGTGTGCACTCTCCCTCTTGTTCTTTGTCTAATATTGAATCTGTATTCTCAATTAAAGCTATTCATATTTTCCAGTCTAACTTCTGATAATTTCATTCTTAGAAACTTTTATATTAATTCATAAAAAAGTAGGTTAATTTCCAGTGCAAGGTAGTATCTATGAAGTTAATTTATGCAAATAATATCAGATAAGTTTGATTTTTATATAATTATCATTTATAACTTTATGTCATTTTTCATTATCAAATTTTGGTTTGTTTAATTTACATAATCATTTTTAGTTCATTTCTATATTATAGATATTTTTAGTTCTTTTTTATATTCTGTTGTAGCTATAAAATTTCAATTTTGTATATTATTGTTTGTATTTAGTCAGAACTTAAAGCTTATTTGCTTTCTTTTCTAGCTTTATATTATTTCAATCTATTCAGTGATAAATATGCTTTCAATAACTTTTATTTATTATAATTTACTTATTTTAAAAAGTGTTAATGTACGTAATTTCAAATAGATACTGTCTGTAACTTTTTTTTAAATAGATTTTGATTATTAACTCTATTTTTTCATGGGACAGAAATTAACCATCATTAGTTAGCATTCTGAAAATGGTATTAACTAATTTTTATCATTACAAATAATGATAAAAATTAGTTACTACTATTTTCAGAAAGAAAGATTTCAAAAAGATTTCAAGAAAAAAAAGATCTATATCTATGCCTGTGTATATTTGATAAGGATAACTTCAAATATTATGAGTTATTTTTTCATAAAATTTGACATCTTTTGTCCAAAGTCTATTTCTTTAGTGCATTAATTTTTTGTGATTTTCCTGGTAACTTTTTAAAATTCTTTTCTTTAATTTAATTTTTTTCTATAATATAAATTTTGTATTCATAATTTATTTCATTTCTATAGATCTGTCTAACAAATCTAACAATAACAACCTTTCTAATTTTTCAAACTGATTTGCAAATGGCAAAGAAATCCACATGCACAGGATATTCCAAAAGTAAGGCCTCCTATTTATTTCTGCTGAAACAACAACATTTATAGGGAGCACAATAAAACCATGAGATAGGACAATTTTTCAGCTACAAAAATGTGTTATTTTTGGTCTCATTCACCACCATTAGTTAGACATTTTTGAGGTGATCTTTATTTTATTATTTCTGTCACTATTCCTAAAATGCATTACCTGCTGCCTAACTGTGCACACTCTCACTATGTGGTGTCTATAAACAAGCAAGCATCAACAAATGTCAGTGGGTGCAACTTTTATGCATGGAGGAATTCAGTAACACATCCCTGCTTCATATGCACTTGCATATCAAAAGTGCTAGACTGCAATCTGTAGCAATAATTAATTATGGATTATTGGTAGAAAGGTTCAAGCTATACTGACACAACATTAATATCCATCTCTGACTGTGATCCAATATAATAAAATAGGAGAAATTACTTTTGGAGCAATATTCATAGAATTTTTTATTGTACTGCATATATATATATATATATATATATATATATATATATATATATATAGAGAGAGAGAGAGAGAGAGAGAGAGAGAGAGAGTTATACAGCAATGAAACCAGTGAAAACAAAGTTCCTTGTGCACTTTAGTAATGATTAACATCCATTTTTATGTATTTTTCAGGTTTTGCAAAGATAATACTTCTTAGTACAAATTGGTTGACTAACTATTATAAATTATCATTTTCACAGTTCTGCAAGCATTATTATTATTATTTCAATACATATGCATTATTAAAAATATAATTTATTTTTACTATACTATTTGAATGATAATTCTATATTAAATAGCATCTAAAGATTATATACACTAATTATTATTGAAAACACAATATATATATTATTTTAGAATATATGCAATGGAATATCTTATTATGAAAGTAGATTAAATAAGAAGGAAAATTTTTGACTGTTAGTGCTGATAATACTATATCTTTAATGTATATTTTATAAAAAATTGATTGTACATAGAGACATATAGAAAGAATTAAATCAATTAAAAATCTAAAAAACCAGTATTATCTAATATATAAAAAACACAACTGAAAATGTATGAAAGTTAAACCCAAATAATGAATTATGCATGATTTGCATGTTACCTTTCTGCATGTATTCCTTTGTAAGAAATAAAATAACATATGCCATGACATTGTTGTATCAGCCAGTAAAAGCCACAGGAAACAAATTTGCAACATCAAGTATATCATATACATTCTCTCCTCTATACAAATATACACACATTTATACAAACACATACTCATCACAAACAGACATACATGCACAGAGAGTAAATATTAAATAAAAAAAAAACAATTTTCAAAATGTATTTGCAATTTAGATTCATTTAAATATAAAAAATATTGCTTGAATAGAATAAAAAAATGTCTGAAAAAGTTTGAGTTAATTTAAAAATTTTATTTCAGAATGGAAGCAATATTTATAAAGTAACCTGGGGAGGTGGTGGCATACACATTATATAAGAAAACTAAATAATAATGGGTAACAGAAAAGGAAATAATTTACTAAAATTTATTTTCATAAATTAAAGAAAATAAAATTATATATGATGAAATAAAATATAATTTGTGAACCAGATATGTATGCACTAATACTATACATTTTAGTAATTGAATCTTTTAAAAATGAATATTTCTAAGATTATACTTTTTACCTAATGATTATATTTACTGTGAATACAAACTGATAATGAAAACATGTACACACACACACACACTCACACACACACATATATATACAGGTAAAAAAATATGTGGGAAGTAATCCAAGTAGATCCTATTAATATAAAATATTAAAACTGACCCACAAAAGAGAGCTCAATATAATTTTTATTATAGAGCATATAAGTGAATTACAATTAATGAGATCCAAACAATTTACCTCATACAGATGATCATTTCGTCCATGGAAAAGTAGTTTTTCCCTGGACTTTCTTGTGTCCTGTCGACATTCATGATTTAGAGAAATATTCATTAAAAATACAACTATACTCCACCACAAAATAAAAAAAAACAAAAACTTAAAATTCTGGAAACCCTTAATATAAAAAAATTACAGCCAAAAATAAATAAAATCATTTATGAGTATAGCAACAAAGTTCTAAAATGCTTATAACAGCAAGGTTTCAAAATATCTAAATTGAAATTGTTAAACTTACAATTAAACAATATTTTAAAACAAGTAATTACAACTCCCTTACATGCAGTAATTTTTTTAAAATTTTACAGTGTTCATGCTCACACATATTTATAACTTACATTAATTTTTTGTCTTAAAAATCCACCCCTGAAGGTGATCTCATATCAGATTGAAGGTACTTGAGAAAAGAAAGACCATATGGATAATTATGGCATTTTTCTTGATCAGTTTTATACTAACACTAATTAATCCATGAATTTGAGAGGATTAAAATAAAAATAAATAGACATAATATGTCTAGATTATTCAATGAAACATGCTTGAATGAAGATATACTGCCTAAATATATATGCACACACACACATATATATATATATATATATATATATATATATATATATATAAGCATTCACATTTTTATATAAGATTTCTATGATCTGAAAGTATAAAGTTATTAAATATTGTAATAAATGACCAAATAATTTTACTTGATATAATCTTAAAATATAAAACTCAAATCGGAACCCTTAGTATGATTAAATTTTACATGTCATCTACACATTTGTTATGTTGGTCATTTTTCCTTCATTTGTGCTATTATTTGTGCTGTTCTTTTGACTATGTTGCTCATAAAGCAGTCATATAAGGTAAGTCATGATGGATAAGTATCTCTATTTTTTTATTAAAATTTAGATAAATTAGTTATCCTTTTATATATGTGTACACATTTTTGGAAATGTTTCTAAGATACAATTATAAATTACTTCTAGCAAATAAAGCAAAAGAAAGTAAATGGAAAGTTTTATCAATTTGATTAAAAATAATTTGTTTTTAATAATCAGGATCATGAATAACTTTATATTCAGTGCCCAAAATATGTTTCGTCTTTCACTTTTTGACTTTAAGAGGCACATTTGTTCATGCATGCCCTATGTTTGCACTACCAAAGTTTTATAATGAGTAACTTTCTTATAAATATAATATCTTTTGTCTAATATTAATCACTTAAAATTTTTCCAACTTAATCATTAACAACTGCTTGCTTTTATGTGTCCTTTTAAGAATATTGCTTAACAGATGAATTTTCTTTCATTCATAAAAACACAAAGAAAAATCTGATACTGGCAAGCCAGATATATTTTCAAAATATTAACCATAGGTTTTACATTTCAAATTAAATGGAAACTGATTTCACTGCAGTATATTTAAATTGAATCATTTCTTTCAAGAAAATGAATCAAATGAAGTAAAGATCTCTTCTTTTTTCCTTATTGTATCCTAATCTAGAATTAAATCAGTAAAATTTAAAAAAAATAAAAGTGCTAATTTTTGAAAATTAATTGTTACCAGGAAGAAAACTAGGCTAAAATGGTATCATATAGGTACAGGTCCAAAATAAAAAGAAATGTATTTTCATGTTTTAGCTTTTTGTTCCAGGATGTTATAATGTGAAAGCTGATCTAGTATTTATTTTGGACACCTCTGCCAGAGTAACAGAAGCAGATTTCCAAAGAATGCTGCAATTTAGTAAGCATCTTTTGGAGGCTATTGACATTGATTCTGGAAGTGTAAGGATTGGATTTTTAACAAGCAGTAAAGCAGTGAAAATTCACTTTCACTTAAGGAAATATAAAAAAAAAGTTGATATCTTACATGCAATAGATCGGATTTCATATGTAAATGGCACTACAAACACTGCAGAAGCTCTTAAGATACCAAGAACGATGTTTATACCACGGAAAGGGGAACGTCCAGATGTGACAAATATTGCTGTACTATTAACAGATGCAAGATCTAGCCTTAATTCCAAAAAAACGTTTCTTCAAGCCAAAAGAGCACGTGACAAGTTTTTTAAGATTATCGCAGTAGGCATTGGTTTCCCTGGTGTACAAGAACTCGACAAAATTTCAAGTGATGGATTCAGCTTTCCTACTCAAGATTTCAGAACTCTGGAAACTCAACTTACATCTGTAGCCCAGGCCATTTGTTTTGGTGAGCTATATTTTCTTCCACTCATATTTTATTGTTTAAATGCAAATGTGTTAAAAAAATTTTCCAGTAAAATATTGATCTCTGAAAATATATGCTTTAAAAATTGTATTTTTATAGTTTTTTTCATGTTTCTTCAGAAATTATTTTTGTTCACAAACATGAACATAAAAATTAATATGTATTACAAATTTAAAAATGAAAGGTATTCTTGAGAGTTGCTTACAAATAATTAGTTACTTATATTCAGTTATAACAAATAGTAGTAGAATTTTTTAATTTGTTTACTTGATATATATGTGCAATGACTTTCTGTTAAAACCTGAATGTCAACCAAATTTTCAATGTATAAGGAAATCTGAAAAAGAGATCATAGATGGGTCCAAGGAAATTAAATGTATAGAAGTGTTTAACATTTTTAGTAAATTTTCACAATTGTATAATATAATTCTACCTTTTGAAAAGATGAAAATTGTTATAATGTCACTATTAATCAGAGAACACTTTTCCAACTGGATTACTTTTTTAATTCTAATAACTGAAAGGAACAAACATTTCTATCTGTTTAAAATTTTTTATAATTTTGGAGTCAACATTTCCACAACTAACAAAGTAATTTTCAAAACTTTTGAAATGTTTATTCTTTCTTATTATATAAATAAATGTAATGATCATAACTTTGGTATTGAAATATATAATGCTACTAAAAAGATTTGCATATATTTTATGCATTACTTTTATTAAAAAGAAATCTACCACTTATATTATGAGCAAAAGTAAAACTAAAACCAAATATAACCAAAATATTTTTATCCAGAGAACTCAAATGTCATATCTCATAACACTTTTATTCTATGTAAACTTGTGAAATTATTTTTCACTAATTTATATCTAAAATAAACAGTGGCTCAAGTATATATGATTTTATTTTGGGGAAATACTACCTCATTCTTTTTTCCAAGGAGTATCCTTAAACTTACGAAATTTTATAGCATCCTGTTAAGTAAAATCATATCTATTCTATAGCGGATATACTAACTTTAAAATTGCTATTATATTTTAAATACTTTTTAACTCATTTAACATGATTATTTTCTCCTTGTTCTTTAAGTTTTTTCAAAAGTTATGCTTTTTCTAATATGAGTTTTGCTCACTATAAAAAGTGTTGTTTTTGGACTGATTCTTGTATTAGTCCTTATTTTTTTAGTTATATTCTGTAACAGTTAAATTTCTTTTTTTCCTATAAAGCAAAGAGCTTTGATATTTTGTTGGTATTAATAACTCTGTTGATTCTGTATCCTGTTGCAGAAATTGACCTGGACTATTTCATCCCAGAAAGAGGACAGAAAAATCCCTTTGGTTGTAAAGCAGTAATAATTAAAGATATTGTTCTTGTGTTTCACTTCTCTGTTTTTATTTTGGCATTCAAAACCTATCAGTTGAGACCCAGCAACAAAGAAATAATGCTGCCACAATTGTTTTTTTGTGTATTTACCACATCAGGATTTCTTTGTGTCTTACCATTTTTCTATCAACTAATAACAACATTCTATTTGTATCTATACTTGGAAAAGGTTTAATTTTCTTATAAGAATTTATTCAATAGAATATTTTAGAATTATTATCATATTCTTATTTAGAAATAACAAATTCTAATGTTATTCAATTTTTAAATTATACGGCTTCAGAAAATAATAATGCCAGTTCATGGTCTAAAAATTTAAAAATTTCATAAAAGTAAAGAGAAAATTACAACTTGTGGATGAGTTCTATAAAAATCTGAATTTTTAAACCTGAATGAATATCAAAAATAACACTAAGCTTATATTTATTAGTAAGATATCAATTTCCAAAATCATTTCAATTTTTAATATTACTGAAGTAATCTCTAACCTCTTCCAAGTGTCCATTTTTGTTATGCTTTTGCTTTCCATTTACAGCATCTTTATCTTTTTATTCAATTATCACTGTGATTAATATCCTGGTTCCCTTTTCACTAATTGTCAACCTTCAACACACACATGCACACACCTGTGCACACACACATATGGGCATATGTGTATGTGTATGTGCATATATATATGTGTGCTATTAACATTCTTCTATGCTATCAGCCCTCCTGATATAAAATATCTATTACAAGTTGCCTTGATCCTTTGTAAACCATGTCTATATGCATGTTCACTTTCTTTCTTTTACAGCAGCTCACAAAGTCTTTGGTCTAATGTTTTACTGATTAACTGCTATTTTCTTTTTCCTACATCAAAAAGCAGGAAATAAAAACTGAAGTACATTTCAAACATCTAATTTTATGTAAAAAATATACTCTATATAACTATGACAGATATTTTCTTCCATGAAAATATTTCCATGAAACTAGGCCTAACTAATCAGATTTGTTTTTCTCTTATTTTTATGCAGATATCTTTACTCACTCACTCTAGCTTTTGTAAGTAAAACATTAATATGGACAATTGATTAAATTATTCATTACATTATTCTTTAATGACTGAAAGAAAATGGTAAATACAAAGGTTTTGAATTGTTGAGTTTCTACTATTTTATAATCATATCATTTCAGTTTTTGTTTTCTGTCTTTTTATACTTTTTACTGTTGGTATCTTATCACCTTATTTATCCAGTTTGTATTTGAATGTGCTATATGTACTGGTTTCTAATTAAAATATATAAAACTTTTTAAACTGGAAATTATGCCATTAAAAACAATTCTCCATGAATATCTAGGTATAAATGTTATGAAAAAAAAATAACATATTCAATTCATCAATTTTTACTAATTTCATTGAAAATAATCTAATGATACAACTGATAACATTTAAAAATGAATTTCTGGATATCAGGATTGGAATCATCTGTGGATTTATATTTGTTGATGCATGTTCATAAGCACAGATGCATGACAAAAGTTGTTGATCATTCCAATATGACAGAATTACTACACAAAATTGATCAACAAATTCTTTCTTGAATTCTTCATTAACCCAAATTATTTTGACTTTTAATTCTCATTTGGAACATGCTTCATATTTTCTGTTATTTTACCCTTCAGAAAAAGTATATTTTGATGGTATAATTACATATTGATAACTAAGATAAAACTTTGCCATTGTGATAATAATAGTATATTAAAACAGAAATATAAGTGTAAAGCTCATAATCAGTTAAGATCTTCATTGATTAAATGGTATTTAATTTCTTCAAACTGTTATCCTCTTTTCCTTTAATTTTCTCAGAACTTTTCATCAAATATGTTCTGAGCATTTCTAAATGTTTTCTTTCACATAACAAAATATCAAATTAAACCAGAGAGTGCACGGTTCAAATGCTATAAAAACAACAAAAATTATATATGTACAAAACTATTATTATGTCACAGTATTTCATCTCATATTTACAGATTTTTTTGAATAAAAGAATTCTTTCTTAAAGTATATTTATTTTTCCTATAGTTAAAAACATTATGTGGACTTTTTAAAAATCCTATCTAATTCCCATTTATTCATACATGTATTGCATGATATTATAATCCACAGAATAACATGCTACAAAGTAAAAGATCAAATAGCATTTTTTTATTATTATAATACCTATACAATTCATACATAAATTTAAAATTATATATACATATATATATATATATATATATATAATATTAGTGGTCAATAATATATATATATATATATATATATATATAAATAAATTTCCAAGAGATAGATTCCAGGTAGAACTCAAATTTCCAGGACGGAGTAATAATATAATAAAAAAAGGCTTAAACACTAATATTCCATGGTTATAATTTATTACATTGGAATCATAATCATGATCCAATTCATCAGACCTACAAATTCAAAAAAAAAATCGGAAAATATAACTCCAGGTATAAAAAACAAAATTTTAGTGAGAGTGTATGTGTGGGAATGGGAAACAAGTGTGAGAGGGAAATGTATGAAAGCTCTAGAGAGTGGTGTAACAGAAGAAAGAAGAATAGGAAGGTCTAAAGGTGAAGGTGGGGATTAAAATTTAACAGAGAGAAGTTTTAAAGAGAGGAGTTAAATAACAGTTTAAATGAGTGAGATACAGATAAATATGCATTATTTTTCAATGCATAATTCGCTACCGAATCACTGACCTAAATTAAAATTAAAAAAGCAGACACCGGAAACATGTGTATACATTTGTGGTAACTACGCACAATAAAAAATGATATGATCTAAACTTAAAATCCAAAAGATGAGAGAGAGAGGAAAAAAAAAAGATGGGGAAGCAAATTAAAACGTAGGGCATTTATAAGAGAACCGATGTGTAATCAAGAAAATTTGACGAAGCAAGTAATATCACCTACAGGTTACAAATTTAACATAAACATATAAAATTTAACTAATATTTAATCTAGTAAGGACCTACTATTTATATGCCCAAAAATACATACGTAGATACGCACATACACAACAACATATCTATATCTACTCGCACATACATACATATACGTGTGCATATATATATCTCAATACACATATACTCATGCATATATATATATATGCATACACATATATACACATAGACATACACATATGTGCACATAAACATATCTACATAAAACCTTACACACATCCATACATATACATACACACACTCATCTAAACAAATATACAACATATCTATCTATCTATCTATCTATCTATACATATACACACATATATACACACACACACACACACACACACACACACACATATATATATATATATATATATATATATATATATATATATATATATATATATATATATACATATATATATATAAATTAAAAGGTAAAAAAACACACATCCATCCATACATACATTTAACATATAAAAATAGATGGGTAGAATTAAACTAATTTGTACTTAAAAAAAACTACTGAGGAAGAAAACATTAATAATATAAAAAAACCACTGAGTGATTAACGCATATATATCTCTTAAGTCTACATATATACCTAGGTATATAAAAATATCAGAAAACTATCAGATTTTGTATATCAGTTATTTAGGAAAACTTTTTACCTACATACCCACATACACATATACCAACACATGAATAAAGTTTGCTAACACAAATTAAATGATCAAAAAATATATAGAGCACCACATAAACACAGACAATAATATATATAGATAATCATTATATATATATGTATATATAATAATAATAATGGACTCTCCTGTCAATTTTTTATATAAAAGTGTGCAGCTTATATTTTATATCATAGAGAAACACTTTATACAAAGAATTAAATAGCAATGTTAATGTGATTAATGGCGGAATTACTTTGCTAACATGACATAAATAATAATAATAATAATAATAAGATCCTTATATTTGAGTTGTTTTTTTCTTTGTATAAATTGTTTCTTTATCATATATATATGTGTGTGTGTGTGTGTGTGTGTGTGTGTGTGTGTGTGTGTGTGTGTGTGTGTGTGTGTTATTATTATTTTATTATTATTATTATTATTATTATTATTATTATTATTATTATTATTAAATAATTCTCAGGAGAAATTTGTTATTTAAAACTCAAATTATGAAATAAAATGACTAGAATTCAGAAAAAAAATTATGGTTATCTCCCTTTAAAGATTTAGAAATAATTGTCAAGGCATATAATGCTATGTGGTGTTAGTGTTGTGCCATGTGGGAGAACTGTAAGTAACAGTGAAGCGACACGACAAAATGTACTGTATTCTTATCTGTAGTAACCCATGACTTACTCTGACTGCTAGTAGCCAAAGGCACTATGCTTTATTGAAATGTGTTTGGTCTCTATAAATAATTACAAGGGAATTAACTCTGTATTTATTAATATATCACATACTATGCCAGGCAATATTACCTATCTTATCAATTAATATTGAAAGTATTTGAGTGTTATGACTTTAATAATCAGTTGAAATAATTTCTCAGTTGCAGTTCAGTTGTAAAGAAAAGCAGGTTATAACAATGAAAACAGTAAGAATAGTCTAAGGTATTACTTATATGTTCAAGAAGCATTTTGTACTGATTACCATATTACATATTAATTATGGATATTTGAAATTGGTAAATATATTCAGACACAAATCAGTTAGAAGCAGTCGTTATCTAAACAGACAGCTCTAAATCTGAATAACATTTCCAGTAGATATATCAATTTATAACAGTAATATCTCAAATATGAAATTAGTCAATTAAAATTTACTTATATGACTTTTGTTGCATATAATGTAGTATAACTGAAAATTATAATTTTACATTTAATTTTTCTTATATTTAAAGACTAAAATGACCCCAACTGTATTTTAAAATTATAGCTCAAATAATTTTATCTGAAATTTGCATATTATTTGTTTAATTCATTTCTATTCAATTTAATGATGTATTAGTGTCAGAATTATCCAATATTAAATTTAGATTTCTGTTATTCTCAAAATTATGACAAAAATAAATATATCTATTATAATTTTATTACTTGTATTTTACAGCTGCATCTGAAGGTAAGAGTCATTTTATTTCAATTTGATTTAATAACATCATTCTTTATTGTAAATATAGATACTAAATTAAAACTCTAATCCTAAATTAGTCAACATATAAAGACAAAATTCATATTTGAAAATAATTTACTAAGATGAAAAATAATTTGCATCAGTTTAAAATCTAAATTAAATATGAATTAATAATTTTCAAAATAGCCACATAAAATGAAAAATTGATTAAAAATTGCCAGTTAACTATATCCTTCAACTATGCATTGATTTATTAACCATTCCTTTATTAATTCATATGATTATACTAATTTTATAGGATATTTTTTTATCATTTTCATTCAATTTTCATAACCATTCTGAATACTTCTTTAATTTGTTTTTTAGCTCCAAGCCCAACACAACCTGGTAAGTAAAGCAACTGGTTTATTTTAAATCATGAACTGATAAAATTTTAATAAATTGAAATAATGTAATTATAATATATTATTTACAAAAGAATAAATGATGATTGCTTTTGTCATATATTAAACATAAAATAAAATTTTTGTTCACTTTCTTGATAATAAATTCAAAAGTAATATATATAACCTTTCTCTTTAATGCACACACACACATACACACAGTCATACTGAAATTTAATATCACTTACATATGATTGCAAAAAGTATTGTGAAACAGATAAAGTTCAGGTGTATAGTTACAGATTTCTAAGTCTAAACAAATCATACCCATGATCATTAAAAAGATATATCTGATTATAAGAAACTTAATGCAAAAACAAACTTTGATCTGCTTTAAAAAATTATCTCTTGTGTATTCTTCAGTTGACAAATGTTTGTAGCTATGAAACAATTTTTCCATCATACTTCATTGTCTAATGAGCCTTTTTGCTTTATTTAGTACTTTTATGATTTGTAATGTCATTTTTTTCAGTATTTATTGCTGTTATATAATATTTTGCAAATTTCCAGAAATGCAATTTATAACAAGAATCTACCTACAGTGTTTTGAGTAAAGATAATATCCAGCAGATTGCAATCAATCTTTGATGACTTTTGAGTAGTATTGTAAGTGTCACTGATAGAAAATGAACTGCTGTTGTACAGTGACATTTATTTGTGCTGCAACACATTAAAATGAATTTAAAAAACAAAATAGTGCATCTTTCTGTACTCTCAGCTGACATGAAATTGCGCAGTTTGCTTTCTAGTATTCTGCAGTTTTTGCCTACTTCATTCTTGCTAATTTTCTGATTTCTCATCTATTTTTTCTAGTGAAAGCAAATTCTTTTATTCCTTCTTTTAAAACTTTTCATATACTAACCATTAAATTGTCAATCTTATATGGCAATACAAAATAAAGACTAACCAAAAATGCAGATAACTCTTTTAAGCTAAAGTTATCATTGTTAGTTAAAATTATTCTTGATTTTTTCACTTTCACCTTGTCTGAAATACATTAAAACAACTGTATGCCCTCTTATGAATAAAACAATTCTTATAAGAGGAGACTAAGAAAATAAATTTTACTACAAGTTGAACAAAATCTAACTTCACTTTAATAAATATAAAAGCAAGTGTAAATAAAATCATGCATTTTATTTTTGTATAAATAATCTTCTAAAGCTAACTTTTTATATTTAATTGATAGATAAGTTTACAAATACACTACAAATATAGCGAAGTTTAGAGGAATAATTTTGCTGAAGGAAATGCTAGTATATGATTTATTTGTTCTTAGATGAAATAAATTTGAAATTATTTACAAGTACGTGAGTTATTTTAATATTGGCATATGATTTGTCCCAATTAATTACAGTTTTTAAATATAAAATTGAACATTTTCTTATGATGTCAATTTCTTTCTCAAATTAATATAATATTGATATGTAAGAATTTTCTTTGTTAAAAATAAGATTATATTAAAAATAAAACTTGAGATTATGATTAAAACAGTGCTAATTTTATTAGATGCATGTCAGATGCTGTTACAGTAATATTTTGTAAGCCCTACTTATCAAATAAACATAAACTCATAAAATAAAAAGTTTTAATTCTTCAAAATTCTAGGCTTTGAATTTGTTCTCTAATATGCTTTGCAATTGCTTTTACTAACATCAAATCAACAAGAACTGCAATTATTTGATACTTATTATTTTATAATTATAATCTTAATTTTAAGACTTAACTCATTATAACAGAAAAACTATTTTAATCTTATAATGATTTTAATTCTCTTAAAAAATCATTTTCTGGCTGTTCTTGGTGGTTAATGCTCTGCTTTGGTCTTACTTTATTTTTCTACTTGCTAAAGCTCTATCAATATTTTATGCGCTGTTCTCCAGGCTTGAGATGTAACGCCAAAGCTGACATAGTGTTCCTGTTGGACTTTTCAACAAGTGTTCGCATTATAAACTTTCCCAAAATCATTCAGTTTGTTGAAGACTTTCTTTCAGGTGCTAACATTGACTCTGGTTACATGAGAGTTAGCATTCTGAGTTTTAGTGATGATGTTCACATACAGTTTCATCTGAATAAATATAATTCTTCACAAGGTGTGACTGAAGGACTGCGTAAGATAAAATATTTGTATGGTGGTACAAATACAGCTAGTGCTCTTAATGTTATGCGAACACAGATATTTAGCGAAGAAAATGGTGACCGTCCAGATATACCAAACATAGCTTTTCTAATAACTGATGGTGTGTCGACAATTAACAAAGTCCGCACTATTCCTGAAGCTGAAGAAGCACGTGCTAAAAACATTCATATATATGCCATTGGTATTAAATTGAAAAGTACAGTTGAGTTGGAAAAAATTGCATCACAGCCTGCACAGGAGAATGTATTTACAACTGATGATTTTGATGGCCTACAAGACATAAGAACAAACATTTTCTACAAGTTTTGTGAAGGTGAGTGATGTTGGTATATATGCTATCAACAAAATCAAAAGAGCGATACCAATACTGGTCTTTTATCCTGTTTCATATCACTAAACAGAATATAATAAAATATATATCTAAAGAAATAAGGTAAAATTTAGCAGAAAAAAAAATAAAAGTATTTTCTGTAAGAAAAATATAATAGTAGGAAGATATGTGCATTTGATTAGAAAAGTAATTTAATCAATGGTTTGCATTTTAAAACTATAAACCTAACACAATAATTGCTTTAGGTTTACTGAGTTTTTTCTGATAATGCAATAATTATTATTATTATATGATAATGAGCTCTCCTATTGATTTCAACATATAAGAGTTCAGCAGTTCTGTTTATGACAAAATCATTCATCTACTTACACAAATGATTTGATTATAGTGAGGCTTGTGTAGAATCAGGCACATTTTTTGAAGTTACTGATAACAGATCAATAGAGCACAGTGTACTATGAAATCTCCAAAACAACCCTCATATTTTATTGGAGACAGAATTTAACTCCTATAGAACAAGGTCAAAATTTAAGGCAAGTACATGTGCTTAAACATCACCCTTCCTGGAAAGACTTACTTTGTATTCAGAGTTTCTCTTCTCCTAGACTGATTGCCATTTAAGGCAAGAGAGCCCTATCTTCCCTATCATTTAATCCATGGCTTGAGGAAGATGAATTTATACCCTTTCCAAGGGGTATTAGTACAAATGAATGAAACAGAATCAGCTGTAATTTTAACTCACTGATTCTACTTTCTATACCATTAACATATATATATATATATATATATATATATATATATATATATATAGAGAGAGAGAGAGAGAGAGATGTATGTATGTATGTATGTATGTATGTATATTAATAAATTCAATCTAAATTGAATCTGTTTATTACAGTAATTAATACTTTTAAAACATAATCAAAGGAAAATAGTTATTGTAATCCAATAAAGAAATAAAGAATATCTTCATCAATAAAAATCAGTGAAATACAAAACTTTTAAAATAAACTAATCCAGAGTATTCTAAAAATTAGAAGTTCTTTCTTACAAGTAATATGCCTTAACATTTTCTTAATCTATTCAGTAATATATTTATATTTATTTAAGCAGGAAATCAAAATATAAATAGTTTAAACAAAATTATATTTGAATACTAAAATTAGATATAATGATCATTATTATGCATAAAATAATCATGAGTAATTATTAAATGTATAGATGTTGATATAATGAAACTAATTTCCCACTGAATCTGGAAGGTATCAAGAATAGGTTGGATAGGAGGATATTCAGACCATAATTGTTTGCTCTTTTTCTTTTCATGTTGATAGCACATATACCCAGGAGTCTGGTTAAACAGATAGACTGCATCCTCCCCTGTTAGCTGTGTGATGCAAGACTGTTCACACTGCTATTGAATACACACTGTATTGAACACATGATATGTTCACCAGTAGACTTCACATGCACCACCATTGTCACTACCTCCACCACCACTGACACCTCTACCAAATTCACTGTATACACTTGTTATGTTACCCAAACAACAACCTGCACTTGGGTTTAACTGTCAAAAGTCACATGATTATTTCCTTTATCAGTTATAGTCCTTGCTACTAATTGTGTCTCACAAAAATACTAAAAGTTGCAGCTATTCCAAAACTAATACCATTAATAAGCATTCTCCAGAATAAGTAGCTCAGCAGCAATATCCAATAATTTTGTCTTTTTTTTAAACTGAGCAACAAAAAATAAAAAATATTGTGTCTGTGATATCAATGTTAAAGTACAGGCTCTCAAGAAAGCAGTTGAGCAACATGCTCCATAAGATTTCTATGGGTTTGAGGTCAGGAAATTGGGGCGGCCATGTCATAACACTCACCTGTTTCTCATTAAAGTATTCCTTCATCAATTTTGATTTGTGACAGGGAACATTATCCTGCATAAAAATGAGCATGGTGGGGTTGATTTGCACCCTTTCAGCAGAAGGGAGCAGACAAGACTCTAAAATTCTCTTGTACTGCTCGCTCCTGAGGGTCATTTCAATAGGTTTCAAGAAACCAGTTCCATGAAAAGAAAAGCATCCCCAGAACATTATACTTAACGGATGCTTGACACTACTTACTGCTAAATTCAAAGAGCTTTAAAAGCTTCTTCTTCAGATTTTAGATCATTTATCCTTTGAATTTAGCTTGACTTTCATTTCATCGGAGAAGAGAACATTTAGTAAAAAAATCAGGTGAATCACTTTTATCGAACAGCACTGTCGGTACTTACTACCTATAGTGTAATCATTCATGGGGCTGACTGGTTATTCTATTACATCACAAATGTACATATACATGGTCAATTATTGTGCTTTAATGTGTTAGCAAATTATTTTTTTGTATTTCCATTATTTTCTTCTCAGGATAAGCCCCACAAAAATATTAATTGTCAAAAATAACTACTAAATTAAAGATATGTTGTTAATACTTCATCATGATTTCCCCCTTTTCACTACCTTAGCATAGTAACATTGGAAATACCTTTAGAAACAGAATAATTTGCACCTACTTATTTTTATTATGATTTTATGGAGCTATCAACAACATAAACTTTATTGACTGATAATTTACTGGATCCTTTTCAACTCTTCAAATAAGTACTTCTACCATATATGAGCAGGAGCTGCCCAGTCTTCACTTTCCAGTCTTGGTAGAGTTCAAAAGTGTCTCTGCAACCTTGTGGGTGACAAATTATTTTCCACCCTACAATCCCCTTCCCATACATGAAACATCACAAATCTCTCACTGCTCTATTGCTATTTGCATGGAAAGTGCTCAGACAGACTACATTCCTTAGTTCCACTAGTTCTAACATTCACAGTTAAGACCCGCTATGCTACGCACATTGTAGCAAATGACCCCCATTCTCTTTGTATTCCATTTGTGAGCTGTAAGTTCCGATGGAACAGCTTCTCCCCATCAACTGACTTCCAAGAAAGTGCTTTCCTGATCACTACAATCTTGGTCTGTTCAAATCTAGGATTAACTGTTATTGTCCCCACATATCTACCTAAACTGGGCCTCTTACTCTGTAACCCTCTACATCAAGTGACTCCTGGCCTTGTACAGGGTGAACAAAAACAAACATTCCAACTAAATCAATAAAACTAGAATGACAACATATATAAAAAAAATAACTAATATTAAACTACCGGTTGAATATATTATAAAACTAGATAAAACTGATATTTCTCTTTCAGCAAATAAGTTTCACATTTAATAGCATTAGGTACAAAAAATTTATTACAAGTATATTCTTAGGTATTTTAATGTATTTTGGGAAGACTTTGGTAAATTCAAAAGTTTCATTTAAATTTTATTTTGTATTCTGTTGCTTCAAATATCGGAAGAACTTATAAAGTACAAATAAATCAAATGAATTACTTTACACGAAATGATTAATGCACTGAAACATATACTGTTTTTAACTTACTTATCAACCTTACCCTTATTCACAAATACCATAGCATATAGGTGGATTAATTCCTTTCATGTTTAATTCTGAGCACAAGTACTTGAAGTCAATAGGCCAAGAGAGTTTTGGTAGCTTATACGTTTTTTTTTGTTTTTTTTTAAGCATTTCACCCCAAGCAAGGCGGGAAGCCACTAGGACGCAAGGGGTTACAGAAAATTTAAAGCAAGATCAGATAGGAGTGATAGAAGAAAGGATGAGGGTAGTGGATAGATCAAGGCAACTGGAGATGTCGATTGACATTACACTTGAATAGCTGGAGATTATAGCTCACAGGGAAACAGGAGAAGGGAAGGGAGTTCCACAGGCGAGGGGTGCGAGACAAGAAGCTATTAGAGTAGAAGAGACGGCTACATTTAAGAGTTTCGACGGTGAAGGGGTGAGAAGCGAAACTATACTCACACGGGCCAGCAAGTGGTTGTCTGCTTTCTTCCTCATGATGGTAACTGAATGTACAACTTACCTTATGTCCAAGCGTCGACCTGGTGGGGGTGGGGGGGTGATCAACGGCCAATCCTCCGCCCTCACCAAGTACTGGGCTTGGGAGATATGCTTTCAATAAGATTTAGAACAGGAGATAGAAACGGCTAGAACAATTCCAAGTTCAGACAATATATCAAGCAAAAAGATACTGACACAACATCATTAGAATACTTGACGAGACAACTTCGCATCTAGCCAAAGACATTAAATTTTCCATTTTTCCTGTTTTTCTTTTTCTGTCACTAAAAATAGCAACATGTATTTCAAGATATCAAAATTTTTAAGACTGCAGTGCATGAAATTAATAAAAAAAAATTTTTATTGCAAAATGGTTGCCATGATGTATTTTACTATGAAGAAAATGGTTTGCAATTACAATTAAAAAAATAATAAAATGTTAATTAAAGAAGAAAATGCTTAATGCATTTATCATAATTTACAGACAATCACAGAAAATTGTAGTCACTTTTATTTTGTGATAAAAACAACATTAACTGATAAGAAAGTTATCAGATATTATCTAGTATATATAAAAGAAAACCAAGTAAAAAATGGATGGTAGAAATCAGAGAATCAAAACACTCTGTTGAAAAAGTATAAGAATCAGAATATTGTCAATGCACAATTGACAAAACATAAAAAATAAAAAAAATGAAAATATTTAACATTACAGCCAGAGTTTACTACTTTAATATATATTTGGAAAAATTTATAAAAACACAAATATTTCAAAAATAAATACAAGAAATCATTTTCTCAGATAAAAACAAGTTGTGACATTAAATTATTTTTCCAAATAAGAAATTTATTCAAGCTTACCTTCCAGCTTTAGTACCTTGTGTAGTATTCCATGCTTGCAACCCTACACTCCTACCCTTCACATATGTTTAGATGTTATTTGCAATAACTCCTGTAGATGTCAATCCACCAATAAATGAAAATATGATTGGTTACTGATATCCAAATGCTCTGCCTGCATTCCCACACTCCTACCCTTTTGCAGTATAACTGGATATTTGATAACTGCAATGATCCTAAACATTATAAAATACAAAATGCCATTTGGTTTTGCTCTGCCTGCAATCCCTTATTACTATTCCTTGATGTATAAATGGGTGTTGTTAACATCATGATATGTAACTTATTCATGCTAATATCAATATCTATGACTATATCATGATTTAGTCACTATTGTGGAAATACATTTCCTTCCTGAAAATTACAAGAAAATCATTTTTGTCAACTGTAACTGCACTATAAGAAAATATTAGTATACGAAAAAACTTTTTGGGACACAAATTTATACAGATAATTGATACTTCCATGCAATTTAAATCATTATTTAGATATAACTTCATTATAATCATGAAATATTTTGGATGGGTCTTCATAATTACATAAATCATAAAAACCAATCATTAAGTTACCAAGGATTTTGAATCCATAAACATTTTCTCATGTAATATTTGAATAAATTTAGTTCACCAAATACAAAACATCTCAGAAAAGAACTCAGGGTAGGTTTCAATCTGAATATCATAATTTACATTTCTACTGATTGTTTAATTTTTTGAAGCCTTACTATCTGTGATTTTCTTTTCAGATCGTGTCGAAGTGCCCACAAATAGTAAGTTATATAATAAATATGGTTTTGGTGCTGTACCGTAAGTTAATCATTTCAGTAATATTTTCATCAAGTATTTATAAAAAATTCACTTGATTATCAAAATTGATGGTTTTAAAGTCCATGTAGAAGAAGAATACAATATCTAAATTCAGTAATTATATGTTTTATAGAGCCTCTTTTCCATTTGCAATATATAACCCCTCTAAAACAATTATAATAAATACTGTAATTAGCAGTGTAACATAAATGCCCATTTTTTTATTGATATATTTCTTACATACTAATTATGCTCTTCCCTTTAATAATTATTATTATATGATCATAATTCATAATAAATACCCATAATTTAAAAGAAACTTTCTTGTTTTAAGAAAAGTTTTCCTTATGATATTTGAATTTTAAATAATTATCTTGTCTTTTTAATCCTTTGATGGATATCATTTGACATGTACATTTACTTAGATTATTAATTCTCAATTTACAGCTTCATAACCCCAAATTATAATACCAGTGACAAACTGTTTAAATAATTATTGTTTTACATTTCCTATACTGCTTCATGTTTATTAAATCATTTTAGCATAAGTGCCACATTTTTCAAATTTTTAGTAATGGTCAAAGAATGTATCAAGAAGTATAAATATTTGATAGCAAACAGCTTTTAACAAATAGCATACTATATACATGAACCTTTTACATTTAGATTTATTTATTATTATGTTATAAATGAAAAGATAAAAATATCTAAGGAAGTATATATATTAAATATATATCATATTATCTCAAAATAATCATAAAAATACAGTATTCTTTTTCAATTTTCAAATAATTCTTGGTACTAAAAAGTGAAAAAATATAAATATCAAAACTAAAAATATTTTGCTTTATGTATTTCAAATTTTATGTTTTTTATTTACAGTATTAAAAATATGCCATAATATTAATAATAATAAAGAAATAGATAAATTAAAATATGTATATAAACTCAGTTATTTGACTTCTTAAAACTGAAATAGTAACTTTTAACAAAAAATTTCTTTAAATAAATCATAAGAGAACTGATTGCAACTGTATTCACAAAGCGGATTTTTTTTACAATTTTATACTTTTTAATATGAAATATAAAAAATCAATGTTAACAAAAATCAATACATTTTCAGTTGATAATCTCTGAAGATATTCAGCTCTATTCTTATATGTTTTCATCACAGTTTTGTTTTTCAGGTGAAATATATTACATTATATTCTTACTATTCTCTATGTATAAACAAATGTAACTTGATGTTTTGTACATGTTTCATGTTTTATGTTCTACATTAATAAGTCTCAAAATGAATGTCTTTTTTCAAAACTGATTCTTTTTGTATTTTTGTGTTCATCAATGTTACTTCAAAATTCTTATAATTCTATGTCTATGTTTTATGTGTCTGTGTGTGCACCATATTAATTTTAATTTATTCAGTTACATGTGTAAGGAACAGAAATATAATTCACAATAAACTATAAACAAAAATTAACTAAAAACTACAACTTCAAAGTCATTGAGAGTGAAAAAGATGACCACATTTATCTTGGAGTCTCATTTGACATGATACTGTAAAGCAAAGTAAAATTTAACAATTTGGGAGCAGGCTTCCTGGTGAAGGCCATCAAAAGGCCAGAAACAAGCAATCATATGAAGAAGCAACATATAATTTACAGATATAATTTTTTTTAGATATAGGATTTGCAGTATTACCAAAGCTCAAATTTAACAACAATATTATTACAAACTTAAAATTTATTTTAATTTATTAGTTATTTTCTTGCCATTAACCCTCCACATTGCAATTAACCAGAAATACAAAAAACGTCACGTAAAAAAATCAAATACATACATGTATATATATATATATATATATATATATATATATATATATATATATATATTTCATGCATACATATTTCATACATTGCTGTATTTAACTATAATTATTAAAGTACATCTGTTCAATAATATCATTTCATCCAAAATAATAGTAAAGAATAAAACTCAAAATATGTAGAAATATGTGATTTAAAATATCAAAATATTTAAGTAAAGGTTTTGGGATTAAATATTTTCATAACTATTAAAACTCATGAACAGATGATAGTATCTTGTTTATGTGGCAAAATTCAAGATTATTTCAACAAAGAGTCTTTCACAAATTACATCTCGCATTAATAACAATATACTTAATGTTCACTGAGATGTCAACAATTTGTTAATAATAGGAAATATTTAAAAGTTTAATTTACTCTGGTACTGTATTCATATTTCAGTGGGTAACTGTGAGAAATTTTGACATCTGCAGCCATCCTAAAACTTAACTTGGTTTCTTATCCAAAAGATTTTCTGAACCAAGGTGCTGAAAACAATCAAGGCATTTCCAATATATGAATATCTAATATATGACATAACTGGAAATAAATGTACACTTAACTTGTCAAAGACAGCAATTCCAACAACTGCACAGCCAGAAGGTAAGTTTAGTGTTCAAAGGTGCCGCAGTGGTGGTTATCTAAAGATTTAAAAAAATATTTTCTTCAGTGAAATAACTGTAAGGTTATAAAAATGCCTAATAATGGCTTAACTATGCCTATTATAGTTTAACTCCCGAACACTGAATAATTTTTCACAAATATCAAATTTAAAAACGTTGTTCCTGTATTTTTCAGTTTATTCACATATAATATTACTTCATGAGATTATTTACTGGTATATCGTCTTATTTCACTATTCGTATATATATACATATCATCAATAATAGGAGTAAGTTCAAAGGTTGACACATGTATTGGAGGGTAAATAAAAATACTGGTTTAATAACAGAAATGTTAACATAAAATATTATTCATTATTGCTATAAAAGCAACAGTTTGAATTCATACAGAAAACAGATGGATAATTTCAGCTTTTTTATCTAAAACTACAGCTTTGATCTGTGATTGTAGTGTAATTTGTACGTCATTTCTTTCTAATCTTGAATTTATAAAAAATTGTCAAATTCACTCATGAAAATATGGTTTATCAGCATGCATTCCTTTACTACTTAACGTTTTGTTATTTTCCTTCTTTCTGGTTTATTCTGTTGTTTCTAAATGGTTGCCCTATCTGTAAATGGTTTTCTCATCTATCATGTGTTATCTCTTGTTATGTACTCTACATTGTATCAGTGTATGTTTATGTGAATAACTTAATCTACTCCTAACTATGAGGACATAAATCTACTTCTATATTCTTTACATTGATCCTAGTTTCTTGGTGTTGTGCCAGTTTTCAACTGCCAGTTTCTATGTGACAGTTATATTTAAAATCACATTATGTTTTCATGTCTATTTTTATGTCTTTATTTCAGTTTTTTATTACAATGTCAACAAACACAAATCCTACACTTATGTATATTTTTTTAGATAAGTGCTTATTTATTTAAATTCAAAGTCTTATCTTTTAAATTCTTCAATTGTTCTTATAGCCATGTTCATATAGTTTAGTTTCTTCAGTTTTATTCTGATTTTTTATAATTATTTACTTTTGTTTTGTTTACGAGCTTAAATTCACAAATTATTCTTCACTCAGTTCTTTTTTGTGTGAATTTTTATTACTTTCAGAGTTGATGTCTTTTATGCTTATTTTTTGTAGATCATTGGTTTAAAATTTATTCTAAAATTAATCATCATACAAGTATTATTTTGGTTGATGACCATAATTCTGTTTGCTTTTGTTTAGGAAATCCATTTAATCCCATATAAGTCATGAACAACACCACATACTGATATCATACTTCTAATTCTTTCAATTTCACAGTACCTACTAATCAGCCTTGGGTTCCAGCTAGGGGTAAGGTGATTTGCATGATTTCATATAATTCATGGCACATTGCACAATTCTTGCATTTCTCATAAACATTTCAATATCAGTTATTGGCACAGTCTAGATTAAAAGAAATTTTGTACAACAGGATAACAACAATAAAATTGAATTGCTGATAACAGCATCAAGAAATATTTTACTTTATATTTCTTCACATAATAATCATATAATTTCTAGAATACTTTATTTTCATAAATATTTGAACTGTAAGAAAAATCTGTTTAAATATATTGTTGCATGTAGGATTACTTTCTAGAATAAAATCTGAGCACTGAATTCATAGTTAAATTATTTGTTTCTAAGCACAACTTTAGATAATACAAGCACTCTTTAAAAAAGCACATTCACTCATCAAAAGCACATTCATTCATCAAATCTCGTAATATATCATCAATATTCTTTAGGTGAATGCCATGGAGCAGAGTCTGACATCATCTTTATTTTGGATTCATCAACTAGTGTCAGTGAACCTAATTTTAAAAAAATGCTACGATTTGTCATAGACTTTCTGTCAACTGCTGACATTGATTCTGGTAGTGTACGAGTTGGTGCCGTTATTTACAGTACTGAAGTACATATCCAGTTTAATTTGAACACATATAGAACAAAACAAGAGATTCTAGATGCTTTTGGAAAAATACCTTTCATTTATGGAAGTACAAACACGTATGGAGCTTTGAACATTATGAGGACTGAAATGTTCACCAGAGAAAATGGAGATAGACCAAATGTTCACAATATAGTTATGTTGATAACAGATGGTGTGTCCAACATAAATCCAACACTTACAGTACCCGAGGCAGTCAGAGCACGAGCTGAGAACATTCATATATATGCTGTTGGCATTGGTTTAGCTGATACAACAGAATTGGCAAAAATTGCATCCAAACCGGCAACAGGAAACACATTTACTGTTCAAGATTTTGCTGAACTTGATGTACTAAAGCATAAAATATTTGATGCTTTTTGTCAGGGTATGTATAGGATATATATATATATATATATATATATATATATATATATATATAGTGCTTCAGTGTGATGCAGCAATTTCTGTTGACTGTCTTTTGTTGCTGCTCTTGATTTCTCTCAGCTGTGAATTTCTCACTACTTTGCCTCTGTGTACATCCTTATTTTCCTCT